CAGAGCCTGTGTCCTCTCAGAGACACTAGGGCATGAGGAAGACAAAATGTATTACCATCAGATAAGGTATGATCTGTATTAGAGTCAAAGTGCTCTAAGGTACCCAAAATTATGTGAATAGTCCAGTCTTGATCATACATGGAAAGTAGAAATGGATCATGCCTCTTAAGAAGACTGTGGTTCTCAGAACCTAGACGCTGTTGTGTTAATTGGGACATTTGGTCACTTTCTTTAGGCTTAGGGAAATTTTGGTAAATGGAGAAACAGCTCTGTCTTTAGTACTTGTTTCTACAGTGAAGAATAGCTTTACTGAGCTTCTACTCTGTAACAATCTCAACAGCTACATGTGCCCAAGACTCTTGAGAGCTTGGTTTCTCAATGATAGAAAGGATAGATCTCCTTGTCATAACAGAAGAATGAATTGGGTTTTTACTTGGTTTAAAGGAACTTTAGCATCATGATTCTGACCATGTAAGGAAACATCACTTCTGCTGATTTTAAAGTTTATGAATACACCTCTAGGATTGGCCTCATCCAGGAAACAAAATGTTATAATATAGAGGACTATAGGCAAGGATTAAACATGGGTTTTTTAATTTTAACATGAAAAATCAAAGAAGGACATATAATTACCAAAACTTTCTAATACCCTAGATTTTTTCATTTAGTAGTCAGTAGGGGGCTGCCCCACTCCACAGCTTGTTCTCATGGAGATTACCATCCTTACGTGAAATTCTGTTACTGAAAAGTAGATGGCAAAAGAGATGGTTGGGCCAGTATACAGTTCTACTGGAATAGGAAACAAAGAATGTGATTAGTCACAGCCCCAGAGGTTTTATTTATCTGGTGATAACTATGAAGAGATGTTTTACTAGCCTGCGACTTAAGGAAAAACAGCTTTTGAGCCCATTCTACATATTATTTAGAGTTCAACAAAGTAGAAACAGCATGGAATACCAAAATAAAATCTAAAGAGCAATGGTTGAACTACCTATTCTGCTATTTCACAGTGACCAGTACACCAAAAAAAAATGCCATCTGTAGAATTTTATGGCTGCAAAACTATTAGTCACCCTCCAGGTGAATAGTGAATGTCTCCAATAAGGCACTCTTGAAATTACATTTGGACCTTCCTTCTTCCTCAGTTGGCAAGTTGGAAGAAGGGGGAGAGAGGGAGCCAGGGAGAGGGGATGGGAGAAGGAGAGCACCAGAGAGCCTAAAGATAGTGAGCTTACTCATATTACTGTTAGTCTAGGGCAAAGAATTTCAAACTTTATGTAGCAGAACTCCAGGTTGTGCCTTAAGGAGTATAGGGAGTGTGGGGAAGCCAAGAAGAAGAGTAAATGGACTACAGGTCTTGTTTCTCTGTTTCAACAAGAGTAATTTTCTTTTTATCTGTTTTATTTATTTGAGAATTTTCACATCTTTAAAAAAAGTGAGAAAAACACTGCCATAGAGGAAACTACTAAAACCAAATTGTGCATAGTCCTAGAGAGAACTTTGGAGAGTCTTTGGTATAACTGCTGGATACACAGTTGACATTCCACAGCTTGGGACCCAGAACAAGCACACTGGTTCTGCATGGAATAACTAAACTCTGCTAGACCAGTGTCTCTCTAGTGGTTTCAACTTCTCTGTAACAGAAAATGCACATCTGAAGGAAGAGCATATCCTTCCTAAAGGTTACAGCTGAAACTAGGAACAGAAAAGGAACAGAAACAAAACAAACAGTTACAGCTGCAACTAAGAACAGAAAGTGGATGGAGTAGGTCTGCCAAGCAGATACGTAGGCTGATCTAGAGTGAATGCCTTCTGGACCTCTCTGGCACACAGGGCATGATCTCTATACTGGGCACCTTGCCAGTGGGCTGCAGAATGGATGGCAGTGAACAGAAGGTCATTGGGAAGGGAAAAGATATTCATGTGTGGGGCAGTGCAGTACAAGGTTAAATTGCTATAGCCTGGTCTAAAACAAAGTGAGGCTGTCCACCTATCCATCTCTACACTAGACCATTCATGCAGTTCTAGAAGTAACTTGAGAAGAAAGAATCCAACGAAGGCTGATTACAATGTTGAATGTCGAAATGGTCACCAGAGAGATAACCACAGGACACATTAAGTTCATAGGGCTTGTTTTCCCCACAACTGAAATGACAACTTCTGGCAATACTAGTGGAGAAATGTGAGGAGGAAGGGCAGTTGGAAAACTCTGAATGTTTAAACTGTTCCTGAGCTTCTAGCCACAGCACTAATGGCCAGGTTCAGATACCACTGCTTTCTCTTCTCCATCCTCTCAAACCGTGTTCACCTTTATGAGCCTAAAAAATACAGGCTGTACTCCAGGGAGCAATATACCTCAGCAGCACATGAAATCTGTTTTTCTTGTTCTAAATGGAAATAGCAACTCTACCACACACCCTTGACTACTCACACATCAGCGTATTAAGTAGGTGTTTGGTCCTTAAACCTTTATACTACATCTGTCCCTGTTTTTATCAAACATTACCAGGTAAGTTACGAATTGCCTCACTTCCTGCCCAGACCAACTCAGGGTACTGGACATCCCTTCTATATGATCCTGGTCAAAATAGCTTCGTCAATGATCATTGTACCTAGGCACCCACCTCCCACTATCAGAGATGGCCTTCTTAGATCCAGAAACTAAGAGTTAGAATTCATTTAAATAAAAGATCATATGTAGTTGTAGCTTTCATACATCCATGCTTCCTGAGACACTGCACACCAGACATATGAGTGCCCACTATCTGGACAGATGATGCTCTACAAGGAAAATGGTGCCTGATTTAAGTCTCTAAGTTAACAGAACTTTTTCCTCACCCCCAGTTTCCCAACATGTTTAGAAATTCTCCATTCAAAATTTAGTGCCTCCCACTCTTTCCCTCAAGCCACTGTTCCAAGACACATTTATAAATATGAAGATAGAGCACTTCTCTTCCTCTCAGCCTTAAGCCTATATAGGGGCTGGTCTCCGAAATTGAAGACCCCCCCCCCTCCAAAAAATAGTGCAGCTGGTAAAGACTTAGCTAGCATATAGAATTTATCTGTTCTCCAGTGTCTACATTCTAGAGTTGAAGAGCTCACAGCTTTCTGGGATGACTTCTTCTGTTTAGGTACCATCCTGGCACAATTAGATACTACTGCTGAACAGGTGCAGTTTGAGTTATACCTGTCTTTCTTTAATGCAGCTAGAAGGAGGGGAAGGCTAGGGGCTGCAGTTGAAAGTCAAACCTAATAGTGGGTCATTACTGAGGTACAGACATCCAGTGCCTCTCCTTGCTTTGCACTTAGCTTGCTTTCTTTTTGGACTCTCCACACCTTCTCAGAAAGCTGGGTCAACAGTGCAGGCCTCTGGGCAAGGGGGATTCCTCATAAGAGGAAGGGAGGGCTGCTGTCTCTGTGGTGACTAAGGTATCAACACTCTTTAGAGAGTGTTGATGGGTACAGGGTGGAAGGAGTCAGCTACCCAGCTGTAGGGAAGGTATCTCTAGTGTCCCCAAATCAGTGAAAGCTCCTTTATCATGATGGAGACAGGACTGGGAGGAGGTCAAGCAAGATGGAGTGATTATCCCTCCAGCACCTTGGCTCTTTGCCTATTTTCTTCAGATGAAATTCTCTACATCATCCTCCCCAGTTTCAATCCCTCCCCTTTCCATCCCCGCCCCACCCTGTGCCCATCCCTCCTGGCCACTAGGTCCATCACCCAAGAGCCTCCTCCCTTTTCTCCTCCCCTGCGGTTCTTTCTGTTTTTCTCTGGCATCTGGCCGGGCACATCTACCACCCTCCCTCTCACTCGCCCCACATCCCTTTGCTCTGCAGAGGTCCTATTCCTTTCTCCCCCCCCCCCCCCCCCATCTTGCCCAGCTCTGACAGGGCTGGAGACAGGAGAATGCATTCCTTTAGTCCCTTCACAGCCCGCTGCTCTCCCTCCTCTGGGACCCTAGGCTCTGAGCTCTGACCACCTTCATAGTCTCCTTACAAACTGCCCCCTACCACCCTATTAACTGACAGCAGCCTTTAAGAAAGCTGGGGTGCCCACACAACCCTGACCTACATAGGCAGGTCCAGGGCGGCAGGAGGGCCTCTTCCCCAAGCCCCTTCACTCCCCGCCCCACCTCCTTTCTCCTCTCACTCTCTTCCTTCATCTTCCCACCATTACAAATCAAAGCAAGTTTGAGTTCCAGACTGGGGCTAAGGTGCTAGGCACACTACCCCACCCCAAATGTGGGAAAATAAATGTTTGGCTCAGGAACGCTTTGGTTTTTTCATGCATCCTCCTTCCCAAATATCTTGATCTTTCTTTTTGCGTAGCCACCCCCCACTCTGCTCATGTTTGCGTTTCTTCTTTCTGCTCTGCCACCGCTAGAGATATTGCCATCCTGGGGCCCCATCCGTCCAGTGTTGTTATTTTGCTCCAAGAATAAGCTTCCCTTCCTTGCCTACGACCCCCTCAACAGCCTCACCCAGGCCCCCTTCCCTAGCCACTCGCAGCTCCGCCTGGGGTGGAGGAGCGGAAATGTTTGCATACGGCAGTTTGGGGGATTTCACTGGACACCCAACCCTCCAGACACACATACACAAACACCCGACACACGCCCTGATTGTCTCACTCCGCCCCCAACACACACTGACAGAGACACACACATACTGACACAGGAATGCAGAACCAGACACCAGCAGAGACAAGCACACCCAAACACACACGGACATCAACACATCCAGACTCCGGGCTGCTATAACAGACAACAACCCCGGTGCACACTCGCACACACGCGACAGTGTAAAGGAGAATGCATACCCGGCACACCCACGACCCACGGAGACACAGACGCTCAGACAGACACAGGGGTACTGGCACCGGCTGGCAACTTGAACCCGAGGTTCCAAACAAAGCCGACAGACTCCCTCCGCCCCCAGCGCCGCTCAAAACCCCCACCCGGTCGCTGCCCACCTCCCCTGGCGCCACCTCCTCCCTCACTCACCGTCCTGGGAGAGGTTGGCCTCACCGGGCGCCCAGCAGCGGGCGAAGAGCAGGAGCAGAGGGAGGGCGGAAGGGGCCCCCATCGTGCTTCCCAGCAGGCTCCCTGCTGGGCGCGGGCGAGCCAGGGTCCCCGGGGGCAGTGGCTGGGGCTGGGGAGGAAGTAGACTGCAACGCAGAAAGGGCGCCCCGGAGCCACTAGAACCCCGGGTCCGAGGCGGGGACCAGGAGGGAGCCGGCCGTGCTGCAGTCGCTGGGATTAAATAGGACGATCGGAGCAAACCATTCGGTCGGAGGTGGAGGGGGGTGACGGTGAGCTCGGCTGGTCGCGGTTGGAGGGAGAAGGGGGCGGACTGCCGCATTCCCCACTCCGCCCGCCCCCCACGCCCCCGCCCCGGTGCCGTGGTGCCTTCCACCTTCTCCCCTGGGAGCTCCGCCAGCCCGACTAGGGTGTGGAGCTCAGGGAGGAAGCTGCCTCAGCGGCAGGACCAGGCGCGCACCCCTCTTAGGTTGGGGTGGAGAGAGGGAGTTGGGCAGCGCCCTGGGCCAGCTGGCGAGAGCGGCCACTGCAGGCCTGGACAAGGGCGTGCCCACTAGCCTCCTCAGCTTCGCCCTCCCCCTCTTAGCAACTGGGGATTCCCAAGAACCCTGGGGGTCCCCTATCCACAATGTGCCCAAGGACCTCTCCTCATTGGGTAATCAGCTACCTTGACCGGTCTCCTCAACACTAATATTCCTAGTTCCTCTAACCCTAGGGCCCCTAGTTACCTCTCCAGCAACAATTTGTGGCCTCTGGCGATTTCTTTTCAAAGGCATCTTTCAGTAAACCCACAAGTCATGACACTCATTTCCCTTCATCCCTTGTCACAGAAATTATCCCCCCTTCTCCAAAGCGGTGCTTTCCCTTGAGACTCTTGCCCAAACTCATGGCCTACAAAACAACTCAGTGAATATTTCCTATGCCCCCCCCCCCCCACCCCCCACCCCCCGCCCTTTACTCCCAGGCCTTCCTGCCAGTATTTTTCTTTCTCCTTAATCTTTCAGAGACTCTTGCTCTTCCTTCTCAAGTTTTAGTGAGTAAGATTTCTGGATCAAGGGTCTGGTCTACAGACTCTGAGGAAGCGTCCCCTTTAAGGACCAGTGCATCTGTGACTAATAGGCAGTTCTTGTCCCTGAGGCCAGATATAGTATGGATGAGAGGCACTTACATACTTGCTCTTGGATCAAGAGTTCCAAATCCCTGGGGTTGCTGATCTTTGTGGTTGAGTATCTCTAGAAGAGCCTTGGTGCATCTTAGAAGGGGATCCTCCTGAGTCAATTCGTTAAACTTAGCTTTTGAGAATCAACTTCTAAATTTTAGAATCTCTGAATCAAAGAATTTTACATGTATGAGCATTATTAGAAAATATGTGGTCCAACCCCTTATTATTCAGTTGCAACTTAGGTCCAAAGGGCTTTAACTGACCTACCCAAGGTCATACTGACAGTTAGTAATAGAAAACACAATGTAAGTTAAGGCATGAAACAATGTGATTTTCAGAGTGCCTTTCCATCCTGTGTGACCATATTTTGCACCTAGATGAGGGATTTGTGTCCATGTCTTCCAACTCCTGGACCAGTCTCCTCCTCTGCTGCTGATTGGGCCACACCCTGCTAATCCTTAAAGTTTAGATTACCTTTCTCCCTCTCAGTCAAGCTTTCTCTGTCCTTTGTGATGGATGCAAACACAAGGTTGTGAGAAGTACTTTGTAATCACTAAAACTCTATATAAATATTAGTCACTGGTGGTGAGGCCAAGAAAGAATATTCTCCAGGGACATCATTCAGGATAGTCAGATGCTGCCCCACTGTTTTTCCCTCACCATTTCTAGAGCTTATCCATGGTTTCTGGGAAAAGAGCTCTGCTTGCCTCTTGCATATTTCCTGAGTATATGGGTAGTTTTTTAAGAATTATTGGCAGGGCCGTGTTTGACTACCTTGGGCAGCCTGTCTTGCTGGCCTTTGCACTTGCCAGTGACTCCAAATTATTCCTCTTCTCTGGGTTCTCTGGATCTTGAAATCTCTGAGAAACAAAGATGGAGGGAGGGAGTAGTATGATTGAGAGAAATAGAGAGCTGGATGTAAGAGAGAGGAGAGGATCGTCTAAGGGGTAGAGGAGGGGAATATAATGGGAAAACTGGACTATCTGAGAGAGGTAGGACCAAGCTGGCATGAATTTAGCCATGCAGAGAAAAGCAAGGAGAAGGTGTGTTTTCAAAAAAAGAGTGGGACTTCAGAAGGGAAGGATCAGGCTATTCTAGTTAAAGGATCTTAATGGATAAAAAAATATTATCTTTGGAGATGGAAGAACCCTTAGAGATCTTGTAGGTGGGCTTAAGAGAGGACAGGTTAGTGTTGGTGGGGGTGAAAGGGATAGGGGTGGCCGGATGTGGGATTAGGTCCCAAGTACTTCTAACTAATGTTTTCTTCTTTTCCCTCTGCTGTTCTACAGTGATCCCCTTCTGCCTGTCTTCCTTTAATTCTCAAATGACTCTGTTGGTCCAGTTCTGTCCTGCACTGGCACTTCCTGGGAGGAGGAATAAGGGTAGGAGGAGAGGAGGAGAGTTGTTTTGGAGACAGAGTATTAAGAAGAAGCAAATGAGTCCCTGGAATGCTCTTTTCCTCCTGTCTCCCTTTCCCTTTTCTACATCGTCAGCATTAGTTTGGCAGTACTTTAGACCCTGGAAGTAAGAAGCAGTCATTGGCTTTTAGAATCATAGAATAAAAGAGCATTAGAGGTATAAGAGAACTTCAAGGTTACCTCATTGATACCCCTTGTTGAAAAGATGTTAAAAATGAAGCTCAGAGAAGTTAAGTGAACTTTCTGTGTTCACACAGCTGTATAGTTAAGAGTTACCAGTATTGCAGAGGGGAAGCACATACCTCCCCTGGAGGCAGGAGAGATAAGTAGAAACAATCCCAGTACTCCCCAGCAGTGTACAGTGAGGAATTCCTCATTCTTGTGTAGCTCAGAGTGAAAGGATGGTTTCTTCTACAGATATGGATGTTTACATTGGAATAACTCTTTATCTTTAATCATTCTAATGTCCTTTGTACCTGCGCAGCCCGCATCTCACAGACACCCTATTCACTACGAACAGAGTTTTAGAAAGACTGACCTGTAAGGATTATCCCCATCATAAAAATAGGTAAAAATAAAAGTATCCATGTTGGATTGTGATCTCTATAGTAACTTACCACTCTAAAATGCTATAGCATACAATATATGTTTCCCAGAGACTTGTTCAAAGTCTGGAGTGGGTTGTCTGTGGGATTAAAGAACTGGTAGCCACAGTGATAATTGGGGGTTGCGGCAGAGAAGGATAATGAAGGGAAGGCAAGTTTTGGCTCCTAGATGTGGCTGTCGAACTCAGCAACAGCCTGGGTCACTGGGGGTGTGGAATGTGTAGCTGGCACCATTGCTGCGCTCCACAGCTGTGTGGGCCCTTGGCATTCCTTTCCCCACGCTGCTCCTGTAGAGGGAGAAGAGGGAATTTAGCCTGAGTGGGGTGAATACAATATATTCATCTGGAAGGGGGATGACAGCACCTGTAGGAAAAAAATTAAGAAGACTTGGCTCAGTTCTACATTGCATTCTGACCCTTCTTGTCTGTATGACCTTTTCTTTACCAGTAAATTCCACACAGATTTTCACATTGTTTTCCCCTTTTATTTTTCACCTAACTAAACCAGTATTCTTTATTCAGCTTCTTACTTCTACTATCCAGTTTTAATTAACCCCATCCTTAATAATAAACTCTGTATGCATTTTAAGTATAACTTTAATTGAATTCTAATTTAGTCTGTCACAGACCCTAACTATTAACCCTAATGCCAAACCCAATTTAATTGTCAATTTTAACCAGTATCTTAATTCTAAGTTGTTATAAGCCATCAACTAGGACAGCAATGTGCACATAATAAAAATGATCACAACTACCATTTATTGAGAACCTATTGTATGCCAACTTTGCACTGGAACATTACATACATACTATCTAATTTACGTAGCTGAAAGTACCCTAATGTGATGGGTGTTATTAGCTGCCTTACAAATAGAGAAAACAAAAGTTGGGTGAGATTATGTATTGTAAATACTAGATCCAAATCCATTGTTTAATTTCTGCTTAACCAGAAAGCCTGTGTGCATTCTTTTTTCTGCCAATAAATAATTTTGATCATCTTTCTTAAATCCTAACTAATTCTGACTGGAATAATTCTAACATATTATGTTTTTTGAAAGTATATTATTATATTTTAAGAAATAAAGAGTAGTACAAATTAGAAATCAAACAAACAAAAACAAAAGGCCTAACTTACCTGCCCAGAAACCCCATTGATATTTTAAAATATTAAAGTAATGTATATAAATATATTACTTTAAAGTTAAAACAATCAAACTAAAAGAAAAAAAAAAAAAAACAACTAAAAGCAAAAGCCTCCTTCTTCCCAGACTGGCTATACTACACACCACTAGGGGCATCATTCAATTTGGTGTTGTGTAACACAGTAGTCCTGCCTCCCACAGCATAAGAAGGCGGGTATAATCAAAGTAAATACCAGTGGAACCACCTATGTATGTACTAACTTAGACATGAAGACCACAGTCTGACAGTTTGAATTTACAATTTACAATGACTATTAAAGACCAGATTTCTATTTACTAATCTCTTTACATGTATTATGTCTTTTAATATTCACAAGCTCTCTGTGCAGTATATATTACCCTCATTTTACAGATGAAGACAGCAAGGCCTGAAGAAGCCAAGCTACTGAAACAATAAGACAAAGATGGTGAATGAGAAACCAAGGTTTCAAATACATATTTGTCTTACTCCAAAGCCTAAATTTATAACCACTAGACTTCACCAAAAAGGCTTGTGAGAGGACAGGTTATTTGATCTTGCTTCTGAAGGAGAGATAGAAATAAGGATGACCTATAAGATTGTAGATGGACTCAGATCCATGTGGAAGGAAACAGTACAAGAGGAAAAGGAGCAAAAGAATTACAAGTGCAAAAGGAATTGAATAAGAGGTGAAATGAGTAAGAGGTGAGAGAGCAATAAAGGAATAGAACAAATATGAGTGGAGATCAGAGATATTTTTGTGATAAATTCAGGCAAAAATAAAACCATGTAGTAAATATGAATGAGTGTCACTATTGCTTTAGTTTTAGGCTGATCGATTTACTTTGAGAAGACAATAGACACACATAATC